CTGCCTATTCCTTTCGGGCTGGATGAAAGGGGGGGATTGGGAAAGGGGGGGGTACGACATCTGCTGCATGCAGCTGGTTTCGGCCCCACCGAGGTGCCCATTTCTCGATACATAGCTGCCTCCGGCGCTGGGAGGCGCCGGGAAAATCAGCTACGTGAGCTGATTCTCAAACCCCCCCTTTGCTATCGCCCCCTTTCGCCCGGTCCGATTCTTCCGACCGGTGAGCACTCCCGTGGTCGGCACCTTCCGTGGCGATCGGCGCTCTGCATGGGCTCGGCTGCTGGGGGCTTCTGGAGCGGGCTCGACGAGGTCTTGGAATCGTTGCTGGGCTGAGGGCGTCATCTCGCATGTTGACTCGCATGGGATATCGCTGGGCTTCGTCCCCAGACCCCCTGGAGTCGTGAAAAAATCATGACGGGAGGCTTCTCGCTATTTTCGGCCTTCAGGGGCCCTCACTGGGCCTCGGGGCCGTCGCGAACGACTCGGGACGAAAAATTGGTCACGGGAAAGGGGTCCGGACCTTTGGGGGTCGCGTCATGAAAATAGCATGACGTCGGGGGTTTGGGTCATCCGTGAAATGCGGAAAAAGTGGCATGGTTGCCATGTTGCACGCCATCGTCCCAAGCCAGCTCTCCGTTGGGTCGAGTGTTTGTCAGCCGCTTGCTGACGGGGGGCCTCGGCACGGTCGTCTTGCACAACGGCTCCGCGCATGTCGCAGACAAGGATGACCTTGACGCATCAAGCGCAAGGTGGTCACGTAAAAGACGGCGGGCTGGAAACCTCATTGAGCATGCCATGCATGTGCATTCCCCCCTATGTACCTCGACACGTTATCACGCTTGCGAGTGATCTGCAGGCGCAGTCCCTTCTGAAGCCCCCCTGCATGCTCGCCCCACTTCTATGCAAGCGCTGGAGTCAGAGGCAGCTTGGGGTGCATGTGGTTGAACGGGTCGGTGATGGGTACTTGGACGCCTGCGGGTCGCACGACCCCGAAACACCGGTCGAGTGCATTCTTGGCGAGTGTTGCCCTGCCCTTGGCCGTTGCACACACCTGAAGCGCTGTGTTTTATTGTGCACCACTGCTTGGCTAGAGACTGCAGGACGCGGGGCCCCCAAGCAGCACAGCCATCAACCGAGTCGCGCAGCGAAATTACGCTACGAAGCACGTGCCAGGCCCAGCCGAGATCCCCATGAATCCTATGGAGCCAGGGGTTCTTGGTACAGCGACCTGTAGCGGAAGCTGATCGGAACACGTAGGAAACAAAGCTCCTAAGAGTGGAAGTCCCGCGATGTATAAGCATGCCGGGAACCCTTAGACGATGGGTTTTCATGACCGTGGTGAGGTTTACACGACGGACTGCGTCCTAAACCGAACGTATGACGTTGCTGACATTGTTTGTTTGCCACCATGTCGGAATTGGCAAATCTGCCAGCAGTTGTTCGTCATCACATGTTGTACATAGGCATGTTGCCCCGTAGTAAAATCAGGGAGAGGAGAGAGAAGGGAGACGCTGTCCGTCGGCCACCAGGCGATGGCGAAGACAGTGTTTCCTTCTTTCCTCCCCCCGCCCTCCGCTCTCCTTCCCCGCTCCCCTGTCTGTATTCCATCCAGGCGTTCTGGAAGTGCCTCAGCGACAACACCCTTGGCAAGGATGTGGACGCGATCTTCGCTTCTCCCACGCCGAAGGTGATCTCTCCGCCCGTCCCCCACGCCGCTCGTCTGACCGTCAATTCTTCTGGCTTCGGCACCTCAGTCGGGTACAGTCAGGCTTCTCCAGGAAGAACGAGTGGGCTAACCCCCCTCCCTTCTCGGCAAGCCGCTCGGAGCGGTTAGATTTGGTGGCAAGTCTGAGCAGGCCATGACCAGCCCTTCATCATCATCATCCTCCTGAGCTCCCCACCTCTCCATCCTCCCTGGCTCCTCCCTCTTAGGCAATCACGCCTTGTGAAGACTACTCTCTCCCCCGACTCTGTGCGGAAGATGTTCGGCCCTCTCCGCGTACTGTTTTGGGTCCCACAGAAGACTTCGAAACGTGTTAATACTATTTTGTTGGTTACGCTCCGATCTCATCTGGTGTTTCAGTGTCGTGTTCCCGCTGCGGCGTGGGCTTCATCTTCGGATCGGCGCTGTGCCCCCTGTCGTCAAGATGGTGCTCTCGCCCCCGCACGGGCCACTGTTCAGGATCCGAGTCCTTTGTCGTCGTTGCCGCCCTCCTCTCACTTCCCCTCCTCCGCCGTCCACTGGTCCACATGCTCCCCCCGCTCCTTCCTCCTCAATGCCTGCTGCTATTCGACCGCGTCCTCCTCCGTCCTCGTCCTCCTCCTCTTCCTCCTGCTCCTCCTCCTGCTCACTCGCCACCTCCTCATCATCCTCCTACGTACGCAGCTCCCCTTCCCCCAGTGCGCACAAAATAATGCGGTTGGAGTTCCAGGTCGGCTGTGACACGCGTCCGCAGGTAGAAATGAATCGGCGCAATGGGCAGGGATGCGAGGCAGGGATAGGATGTCAGATATGGCGCGGGCGCACCTAGCTTGTCATGTTCCTCCTCTCCTCTGGTCTCCCCTCTCCTTCATCACTACCCCTCTTTGCGATGCTTGTCTCCGTGATGTTTCCACAAGCTTCTATGTGCGCCAGTGTTCTGCGGGGGGGGGGGGCTGGATTCTGCCATGAGGTGTTCTGGGGCTGGATGCTGCGGAGGAGGGTAATGAGGAGGGTCGGAACAACAGCGGAGGATGGGGGAAACGGCGAGGAGGAGGGCGAGGAGGGGACCCCGGAGTGACGATGAGGAGGATGGGAGGGCCAGGAGGGGATTATGAAGAGGTGAAGGAGGAGGGCGATACGGATGGGAGAGGAGGCATGAGAGACGATTTCTGGAGCCCGCTATAGGCGGCTGGGCGCCTAAATCCTAGACCCAAGGAGATGCTCAATATTGTTGGTGGGCTCAAGAAGGAATGAGGAGGGGGATTCTTCAGGAAAGAGCAGGGTGAGCGGTTGGTTGTAGGAGGAGGAGGATGAGGAGAATAGAAAGCAGGTTTTTTTGGATTTCCAGATTCCAATTTTCTTTGAGCGCCTTCCTACTTCAATGATCGAGTGGCTTCCCCTCTTCCCTCCTCCTCATGGGGGCGGACGGGACCCAGGCTACGTTCAACGCCTTTCTACTTCATGTTTCTACATGCTTGCTTCTACCTGCTTCTTCCGACCGATGGGTAATGAGGATGAGAAGTTTGGGACTGTCCCAGGGGCGCAGTCCGCACCGACCTGGCGGCCCAAGGCCGATTGCAACGAGCTTCTGGTTCACAACCTCGTTCGTCGTGTAGAGCGGAGAGCGAGGGCAAGATCAAGGTGAAGGTCACGGAGGAGGGAGTGGGGGTCTTGGCGGGGTCCAGGGTGTTTGTGGGTGTGTGTGTGTGTGGGTGGGTGGGTTCGACGGGCTCTACGACGGGGGGGAGAATATGGAGAACGACGGGAGCCAGGAATTCGGGAAAATGGTGATGAGGAATAAGACGATGATGGGATGTGAGATGGGAGGGACACATTGGGAGAGGATGATTACAAGAAGAAAGCATTACTGATGAGTGGGAGGAGGAGTTCTTCCTGATGGCCTGGGGCTACGTCAATCTATTAGGCATAAGGCACTCGGCAACTCGTTTAGTTGGAGCTCGCGGGAAGAGACGGAGAAGGTGAAGGATGGCGACGACGAAGAGTAGGAGTAGCATGAGGAGGACGACGATGAGGAGGAGGAGGAGGCGAAGGAGGAAGAGGTCGAGAATGAGAGACGAAGAGAGGCCGACTTCACCCAGATGTTTTCGGTAGTTTTGTCCGCTGTTGCATGTGAGCCCATCCCCAATGATCGTACCCAGACCATCCGTAGCCAATCTGGATCAACAAACCAGTAGGGATCATGCCATCTTTGACCGCGGGGAGACCATCCCCGCATCGGTCTTCCGCCTGCGCTTCGATGCGCTCGTCGGGCGCAGGCAGCAGACACCGCCGAGGCGCCCGCATCGGCAGCCTCACTCTTGCTGCGGTCGCCGCGGCGCGGTGCAGCGGACGCGCAGGGCTGTCGTTCACGGTGGAGCAGGGCCTGCGGTATGGCGCACGCGAGCTCCAGATCGCGGACCTCCTGAGGCCCGCTGGGGAGTGCCGTGGGGTGGTCATGTTGCTGCATGGCGGATTCTGGCAGGGCACCTACGACAGGTCTCTCATGGCGCCCATCGCCGGCGACCTCGCGAGCCGGGGCCTGGCGGTGTGGAACGTGGAGTACCGGAGTCTGGGGACGTCTGGTGGCTATCCCGAGACGTTCGAGGACGTCTCCCTGGCGCTGGACTGGCTCGCTGGCGACGCGGCGCGCGAGCGTGGCGTGGGCTGCGGCCCCGCCGGCCACGCCGACGGCCCGCCGCTGGCCGTCGTCGGCCACTCCGCGGGCGGCCACCTGGCGCTCTGGCTGGGGCTCCGGCCGCTCGTGGCTGCGGCGCCAGGGCCGGGGCCGCGGGGCGGCGTCCGGCCGAGGCTGGTGCTGGCCCAGGCTTAAGTCGGGCCTGTCCCCCTACAGGGGGGGATATGCAAAAAGAGTCAGAAAAATACTCTGAGGACGATGTTGCCGCTATTCTTGAGAATGTTGGGGGCATTGTTTGGGGCTTTTTTTCCATCTTTCGTGCAAAATCCGCCTGTCGGGGGACATGCCCGACCTAAGCCCAGGCAGGAGTTGCCGACCTGCAGAAGGCCTACACAGAGCAGGTGGGCGGCAACATCGTGAAAGAGTTTCTCGGCACGCCGCCCGCCAGCGAGGAGCTCCGATGGCGCGCCTTCTGGGCAAGCCCCTCGGGGTTCCAGGAGCCGTTCCGGCGGCCGACCCGAGACGCCGAGGCCCGCTGGAGGTTGACCGACCCCGCTGCGCTAGCGGGTCTCCTGGAGGCTCGCACCGTGTGCGGAGGGAGCATGCCCACGTTCGGCCTCGTGCACGGTGCCGACGACCAGATCGTGCCTCCGTCGCAGAGTGCTAGCTTCGCCGATGCGATGAGGCAGGCGGGAGCGGGTGAGTCCGTGGTGCTGCAGGACGTTGAGGGGGAGCAGCACTTCGAGCACCTCCGGGGGGCAGAAGGCGCACGCCTGCCCCACCCCTCCCACTTCTGCAGCCCCCATCCCGCTCCTCGCCTTCCCTCGGGCGTTGATAGATGCTGCGCTGGTCCCAGGCCCGCGCTGCCCCAAGCTATAAGTTAGGCGTGTCCCTCTACAGGAGGAATATTCAAAAATAGTCACGAAAAAACTAGTCTGGAACGATTGTTCGATTGTTTTGGAATGTGTGATACATCTATATATATATACACATATACATCGCCCAAAATCCCAAGCTTGGAAGGCCCAAGGTCACTTCGAGCGGCTCCAGCCAGGGCCCAGAAGGGACTTCCCGAGGCTCCAGAATGGCCAGCGAACTGGGAACACCTTGGGAAAGGAACACCTCTGCCGATGTCCAGCCCCATCCCCTCCGCTTCCCCCCCCACCTCCTCAGACGGCCCACGTCGTGATGTTCTCGCGGCGTGGGCCTCCAAGTTCCTGCCCCCATCCCCAGGACCGTTTTGTCGCCTCGGGTCGTGCTGTGATGTCCCCGCGGCACGAACAGCGCCCGCGGATTTGGGCTTCACAAAAGTACGCCCGTCGGGGATGTTGGTCGCGACGCTTGGAGTCGGCGTCACCCAAACATGCTAACTGATACTATGTGTGCGTCGCCCCCCAAAACGGAGATGCGCGCGCCGAGAAATCCGATAGTAGATATTCAGTGTCGGGCGTTTTCTGGCCCTACCGCTCGGGAAATGAGATGCTGCAAGGTGTGTGTGTGTGTGCTACATGTTCGGGTCGGACGTACGCCTCCGAGGAGGGCACAGTACCATTACGCCGTTGCGAAGGTTCGTCACGTTTTATGGGAGCGTCAAGATGATGCAGGTTTCGTCCGTTACTTCCGCGCGAGCGGGCGGGCGAAGGCTCACCCCTGTCCCGACCGCGCCAAGTTGCCCCCTCTTTCCACCCCAAAATCCTAGTGGGCTGGGTCAAGAGCGGTCGGATCAAAGATCCTGGATTTCTGAATTCAGGATTTCCTCCCATTCTACGACAGTACCTATATAGATTTGAAACGGGGGAGTTTGAAACCCCGACGTACAAACACACGATTTTAGAAATCTTTCTGGGCTGGATCCTGCCCTGCTAACGCAAGATGATTCAGCATCAGTTCACGACGAGTTGTTCTGCAACGCCGATGTAGTATGCCCCTGTGCGACCCATGGAGTTCCGGGCAGGTGTGCCTGCTTTGCTCCCCGACGTCGAGCCCCGCTCGCGATGCTGGCGCGCCTGCCTCGGGGTGCTGCAGGACGCGCTGGCGGTGGACCTGGCGCCCACGGCGGCCTGACCCGGCCGCCTGCGGGCGCGGGAGGGCCTCCGTCCTTCTCCTCCTTCCCCTGGCTGCTCCTCCTCAGATCGCTCGCCAGCCGAAAGGCATCCGAGTGAGTGCTGCCTGTGCTGGCATCCCCCCCCCTTCCCGTGATGGAGTCCATGGCTTGTGCCGCCGTGGCGCGCACGGCGAGGAAGGCGTCGACTATCTGGCGCCGACGGGCACCGCTGCTGCTCGACGGCATTTCCGACTGCCTCGCGGCCTCGGAAAGGGGACGTTGCCAGAGATGAGCGGCGCGGAGCGTCAGCTTGGTGGCGTGGGCCGTCTGTGGTTCTTCTCCACCCCAGGCAAGCGATGAGGGGCACGTGGAAGGAACCACCTAGGAGGATCGAGCAGCGCCCCAAGTTGTCATGTTGCCAGCCTAGAACTGGCAGGGGCTGCAATCCCCGTGGCCCATTCGCGCGAGATCTCTGGTGAGCCATGTCCGCCTGCAGCGCCCCGAGTCCGTGGCACACCCCCGCAGGAGGAGCAGAAAGACAACTGTTTCTGCCCAGGAGGATACGGAAGGGGAGGAGAAGTGGAGGAGAAGGACAAGGACGGTCAGAAAGATCAGGGAGGAGTAGAACTGGAGTATGTTTGGCGACCTGTGCACGCAGGAACGTTGACCATCGTGCAGTTGTCCCGTGTTCAGGGCTCGCCGTGTCGACGTGTCCCGAGGGCCCAGCGCTCGACCGTGTCGATACTCGAGCTCGGAACCTTGGGGTGCATGTCGAAACCATGCTAGCAAGACGCTGTTTAGATCAATGCGCAACCATCTGCTGGACAAGCATCAATGCTCACGTCTACCCGTTCCCTGAGCCATAACCGACGCCACAAACGCGCCCCTGAAAACAGCGCGCGTGTGCTTCGAACTGGCGACCAACGACATAGTTAAACCTTGTGCATTGACAATGCACAAGGTTTAACTATGTCGTTGGTCGTATTTCGATGTAGCCATAGTGATATACGCCCTTATCATCACTGTGATGGTCATCATGGTCCTCCTCCGACTCCTCTGATCAAAGGTCCTCCACATCGAGGATCACATCCTGAGCGCTGTGAAGTACTTCTTGATGCTGGCGGCGTCTCGGCAGAGGCAGAGGGAAGTTCTCTCAGCCCGTCGCCGGGCCCCCGTCCCCTGAGGGAGCGGGAGGGGGACGGGCCCCAGAATGAGTCGCCCCCCGGTGGGACGGGCGCAGAGTTACCCTCCCCGATAGGATTGGAGGTGGCTGACGCACGCGAGCGCGCGCGCGCACGCAGATTACGAAGGCACGCAAGCACGCGCGCCCACCTCGCACCACTGCACCTCGCAACAGCTAGGAGCAGAAGAGGGGCCCATCCTGCATGGCGGGAGGGGAAGGGGGCGAGCCCATGACCACGGGGTGGGCAGGTTGCTTTGCACTCCCTCGCCGGATGTGTGAAACCCCGGTGTTGCGGGCACTCCTGGGTCGACGTTCTATATTCCCCCGATGTCTGCACAGAGATCTGTCCGGAAAGCTGCTTCAGAGCTCCTTGCGCGGCTCCTCCGCAGGCGTATTGCCAAGGCCTGGCCCGTGCCGCCGACACTCGTCGCTGGGACGACCACCCCCCCCCGACCTCTCCTGGGGGATCCCCCACGGGGACCACCCCCCTGCGCTTCCAGCGGGGGAGGGAGGACGACGTCGGGGCCGCAACACCTGGGACCGTCCCGGACTCCCCCTGGGCTCTCCCCTGGGCACCGAAAAGCGGGACGAATCACAAGCACGCGGGAACGGATATTCCAACCGTTCCCAACCAATTCCATCCAGTTGAGTGCCAATCCCATCCGCCGTGGGCGATCTTGGATGCATTTCTCGGGGTTTCTGAGAAGTTTCCGCAGGATCCCTGACAGGTTTCTGCATAATCCCTGGGAGATTCCTGAGGGATCCCTGAGAGATTCCTTGCAGGATCCCTGAGGGATTCCTTGCAGGATGCTTGCCTGACCCCTGGGGGGATCCTTCCAAGATCCGTGGGAGGTGCTGCCAGGATTCCCGGGAGATCCTTACCGGATCCTTGGGACATCCGTACAGGATTCCTGGGACATCCTTGCAGGATCCCTGGGAGATCCTTGCAGGATCCCTGGGAGATCCATCCGAGATCCGTGGGAGATCCTTCCGAGATCCCTGGGAGATCCTGCAACTACACGTATTACTACGACTACGACTACGACTACGGCTACTACTACTGCTACTACTACTACTACCACTACTACTACTACTACTACTACTACTACTACTACTACTACTACTACTGCTACTACTACTACTACTACTACTACGACTACTACTACTACTACTACTACTACTACTACTACGACTATCACTACTACTACTACTATTACTACTACTACTACTACTACTAACTACTACTACTACTACTACTACTACTACTACTACGATTACTACTACTATTGCTGCTACTACTACTATGACTACTACTATTACTACTACTACTACTACTACTACTACTACTACTACCACGACTACTACTACTACTAGTACTGCTACTGCTACCCCTACTACTACTACTACTACTACTACTACTACTACTACTACTACTACTATTACTAGGACGACTACTAGTACGACTACGACTGCGACGACGACTACTGCTACTACTTTTACGACTACTACTACGACGATTAGTACTACGACTACTACTACTACTACTACTACTAGTACTACTACTACTACTACTACTACTACTACTACTTCTACTACTACGACTGCGACGACTACTACTACTACTACTACTACTACTGCCACCTACTTCTACGACCAGTACTACTTCTACGACTACTACTGCTACTCCTACAACGACTACTACTACTACTTCTATTACTACTACTACTACCGTCACTAGTACTACTACTAGTACTACTTCTACTACTACTACTACTACTACTTCTACTACTACTACGACGACTACTACTACTACTATTAATACAACGACTACTAGTACTACTACTACGACTTCTACTACTACTACCCTTACTCCTACGACTACTACTACCACTACTACTACTACTACGACTACTACTACTACTACTACGACTACTACTACTATTACTACCACTACTAGTACTACAGCCACGACGTTTACTACTACTCTTACTACTACTACTACTAGTACTACTACTACTGTCCCTACTACTAGTACGACTACGACTACGACGACGATTGCTGCTACTACTCTTACGACTACTACTACGATGATTACGACTACTACTACTACGACTACTACTACAGCTACTACAGCTACTACTACTACTACAGCTACTACTGCTACTACTACTACTACGATGAGTACTACTGCTACTACTACTACTACTACAGCTACTACAACTATTACCACTACTACTACTACTACTACTACTACTACAACTACGACTAACACTACTACTACTACTACTACTACTACTACTGCTACGACTAGTACCTCTTCTACTACGACTACGACTACTACTACTACTACTACTACTACCACTACTACTACTACTTCTCCGACGAGTGCTACTGCTACTACTACTACTACTACTACTACTACTACTACTACCATCACGATTACTACTACTACTACTACTACTCTTACTCCTATTGCTACCACTACTACTGGTACTACAGCCACGACGGCTCTTGTTACTCCTACTACGGGTACTACGGCTACTACGACTCCTACTTGTACTGGAACTAGTACGACCACTACTACTAGTACTACTACGACGACTACGACGGCGACTACTACGACCACGAATTTTAATACTACTAAGACGACTCCTACTACGATCGTTACTACTACTACTACTACTACCACCACCGCTAATACTAACTATTACTACTACTACTACTGGTACTATTACTGCTACTACTACTGCTACTACTTTATTATTACTACGACTACTACTACTACTACTACCACTACAAGTACCACTACCCCTACGGCTACTACGGCGACTACTACTACTACTACTACTACGACTACTACTACTACTACTACTGCTACTATTACTACTACTCCCAGTCGCATTACTACTACTCCTCTTTCTTCGACTACTACTACTCGTAGTATTACTACTACTCCTATTACTACCACCACTGCTTTTCCTAGTATTACTATTACTACTACTACGGCTACTATTACCACTACTACTACCACTACGACTGCTACAACTACCAGTGCTATCATGACTACCGATAACTACTACTACTACTACTACTACTACTACGACTACTGCCATTACTTCTACCGCTACTACTGCCACTTCTAGTATCACTACTACGTCCACTCTTACTTTTCAACTACTATTGCTACTACTACTTCTACTACTAATACGACGACTACGATTATTACGACTACGACTAACATTACCAAGTTTACAAGTACGACCACGATTGCTACTACCGTTCTCACTGTTTCCCTTACTCATACGTTTATCAATACTTGTACGACGATTACCATTATTAGTATTACGATTGCGATTGAGACTACGATCATGGTTCTGATTGCGACTACCACTACTCCTATCATTCGTACGGCGACTGCAACTACAAGGATTACTCGTACAACCACGGTTCTTCTTCTTATTTCTACTACTACTCATACTACTACGATTACGATTCCTACGACTACGATTCCGAGTACGACTACTACTACTACTGATATTACTATATCTACATCTGCGACTACTACTATAATTCCATCTACGATTACGAAGACTATTATTACTACCGTGATGACTATTACTACTATTATTATTACTACTACTACTACTATTGCGCCTATGATTACTATGACTACCGCTACTATTTCTACCACTACAGCCATTACTTGCACGGGTGCTACTACGACGATCACTTCTCGTCTACTACTACTACTACTACTACTACTACGACGACTACTACTACTAGCACTGCTGTTACTACTGCTAGTATACAATTGCAAGTACCGGTATTTTTTCTCATACGACAACTACCACGATTGCGAATACGACCACAACTTCGAGTACGAGTAGGATTACCACTACTACTATAAGTGACATCCTCATTTATATTTCTCGCACCACTTCCACTACTATGATTTTTT